CTAACCACCACCCCCGCCCTCCGCCACCATGGGGACCAGGCGCGCCCCCCCACCCCCGCCCGGGGCATCACCCTGCAGGAGTTCCACTCCACACACGGTGAGGAGACCAGACTTAGACCCGGGAGCACGGGAGGCCTCTGGAGTGCTGTGCGGCCTCGGAGCGAGGCACAGACAAAACTCAGACCACAGCCAGACACCCCGTGTCTGCAGCTGCTTCACTCGCCCCAGCAAATGGAAGCGCTGCGGAGCAGACGGGCGCTCCCTTCTCCCGGGGCTTTTACAAATCTTTCTCACCTTTCATGTTTCAAAGCGTCCAGGGAGGCGGTGTGGCTATTCATCGCTGACGCAGAGGAAGGGGTCAGTTCACAGAGGTGGTGGTTCCCAATCGCTGGGCGTCGGCCCTCTGGGGAAACTCGGAATATACTCCCTCCATGAGCAGCATGGTAAGGGACGGCGAGGCTTCCCCCGCAGCCCAGCCCCACAGCGGCCTTCCCCGCTCACAGTGTTGTCGACGCCATGGACTCGCACAGTCAACGCCGGTAGGAAGCGATGTCGCAGCGCTGACCAACGTGCCCACACACTGAACACACCCCCTTCCTCCTGAATCCATCTCATGAGTCGCCAATTTAGTGAAAGAAGACAGAGGGGGAAGGTGGGGACCTCTTAGGGAGAGACCCCGGCTTTCAAGGAGCCTGGAGCCTATCGCAGCAGTGGGCTCTCCTGTCTTTTCCAATTTCACAGGGACGCCTTTCCTCATTCCCTCCACACCCGCGTGATGCAAAGGAGCCGTGAGGAGGGCAGATTGGGGGCTCACCTGGGAAGGTAGCAAAGAATGGGGAGAAAAAGCAAAACAGGTGGACAGCGATTTCCCTGACGGGCGATGACATCGCGTGGTTGTGAGAGCTCTGCCTCAGTCAGCATGGACTGATTCGCTAAGGAAATCGAGGAGAAGGCAGGAGACCCAATATTAGTGCTCCAGGCCCTGGAGTCAGGGAGAGAGGGGAGTCCACTGTTTGGTCAGACAGTTCCCTCGCTGACCATGAGGTGGTGCCATCAGCCCAGACAGCCACCCCAAGGGGGCAGGGCCTGCAGGAGGAGGCATGCTCCACGTGGAAGCCACGTTACCCACCCAGGCTCTAGAACTCACAGAAACCCTGGACCAGGCAGCACAGATCAACCTACACGTCACTGCCTCCCTCCCACAACTGTCGCCTCCTCCACGGCCCCACCTGCTCACGCCTGAGCAAGAGTACCTTCTGTGCCGTCGAGCATCCCAACCCACATGGAGTCCAAATGAAGACCTCATTCCTCTCCTCCGTATCCTTCCGACGTCAGCACGTTTCCCGATTCCAGAAGGAACCTGAGCTAAGAGCACCTGCCGTCTCCTTAAATGCCGTCATGATGAGGACAAGGTCTTATATGGTGAGCACAGGTCGGTCCCAAAGGCCCCGACAGCAGGGCCCCGGACACCCTTGCCCGCCTTGCCTTCCAGTTTAACACCAAACTCAACAACCCTATTCCAGACACAAGCCCCCCATCTCCCCTCCAGCATTGATCCCTGCTGGTCCTCTCTTGTGATGCCCTCT